TAGGTGTTGACAATGTTTTTAGTTTCCTGTTTGAGGTTGTTTTTTCTTTGTTCAAATTTATTATCTTTTCCATAAATGATGAGCAATAAATTAACCATGATCTTGAATTGATTAAATTATAAAATGCAAACGAAGCTACTCACTGGCTGATTTTTGTTTTTCTCATTTATGTACCAGCGTCCATAAATATCTACAATGCCCCTTCCACACTTTTGGAGCGAGCCCCGGCTACCTCACTCCCACGCGTGAAACGTATGCTGCTGCAAATGACGTGGCAGTGAAAACAATTCTTATTTAAAAATCCACATCGCTACGATCCTTGTTTGCGAACGTTTCAATTGGCTGTCAGGGACAATCGTCAAGTTTTTGTCAAAGTTGATTTTATCGATTTGTGACTTCGTTACGTCATGTGCATAAAGTGTTCAAATGACGGCTTATTGAGGTCTCCACACTCGCTCTAGCAGTGTGAAAACGCTCTACTGAGACACTGTCGTCTGGATGGATAAGTAAATGTTTAAACGATGTTCTTGCCGTCGCTCCATTAGGTATAGATGACAAAACAACAAGCGGAGATTGTTTCAAAAAAGCCAATAGCCATTTTTCTTCTGACTCTTACACGCTCCCCTTGACAGTTCATATTAAAAAAATGTTCGGTTAGAAGCTATTGGGAATTTGTTGAGAGAGGTAATCCTTAGTGTCAACTGAAAATCCAAATCCGATCTAGATCGTGTAGAGAGAGCCGTTGATAAGGGAACGAGCATCGAGTTAATGAATCATTCTCACTTCTATATTTAAAAAGATTACCAACACCAAGCTGCTACAAATACATATTTGATGAACGCCTACTGTAAATGCCACTATGTCTTTGGTTACAATTATAATTACAAAGACGCTTCATTGGTCCCTCACAAAGAATTGATAAGAAAATACCGACGTCGCATAATTAAAAGAAGATAATAGTCTACAGAAATATTATCGTAGTTCTTCAACGGTTTACGTTTTACTTGAAATGGATATTTATTTTTACGTTGTACTCCCAACTTTAGACTTAAATCTGGGCGATGTTATAAAATACTTTCTTATAATATGTAATAACTACAGACGAACGTCTTATGATTCTTATATATTCTGATTAACTTATATTCAAAAGTTCATGCTTACTTTATTTACATAATAATCGTTACAAATCCTTAGTAACTAGAGATTCGAAGGTAACATTACATAACATATCTTTATTTCGTAGAAGTTAAACGAAGGTTGTTTTTCTCATTCTTCGCTTTGTACATAATTTATGGCGAATAATATCAGAGAGAAATTGTAAACAACTGAATGTTATTCGCCATCTACTTGCGATACTTGCTCGTCTCCGAGACCAGCTCCGAGTAGTAGCGCAGGACGTTCGATATGAGTGAAACTGCACACGATGCCTCCGCACCGGAGGTAGTAATAAACCCGTCGCCGGAGCGGAGAATGTAAAAGTCGCTCGGGTCAGTGGAACGGGTGGCGGACTGGTCGCCTCGCGCTCTTCTCAAATTCGGACTTTCAAATTAGCATTTCTTGTTTTATAAATCGGCCTTTCTTTTCCTCCTAAGTTGCGACGGCGACATAATGAATTATCGATACATTAACATTTCTATTCGGAGTTTTCCGTTGGATTTTTGTAGTTAAATGTGGCCATTTGGCTAGACTCATAAATGCATGGAATACAACATTAGCAATCAAATTGATTTATTATGTTTTGAGAGTGTAATATATGTCTATAATGTTAAACAGACGTGAATGAAGGAGTAGATCTTCCGGGCTGGTGGTGATCTTGTACCTAAATTCGATGGGATACTCGCTTTTAAGTTCACCTTTGGGTTTGGCACAGAGCACTTGTATCGAAATCACTTCCTTTGGTCTGCCTGAGATTTTATGAAATCGGTTCATACAAGGCGGCATGCCCTACCCTTACTGGTGCAATTTTTTAATGTGGAAAGTTGTCAAATGGTTCATCTCATCCTAAACGGTTATCGCCGTCTATGGACATAATTATACAGCATCGTGGTGTTGCAAAAGCGTTGACAACCTTTAACAAATGATGAGTAATAGATATCACACTCATAGACTATAATAGTTCCACTTAGTAATAGTTCCATAGATCCACGCTGGTCTACCTGAAGCTGTGGTCTGCCCACTCGTGCAAGAGCAAACGCTGCTATGCGGCCCCACCACGGTTAGATTCGTTGCATATTAGAAAAATCATAGATTGGATAGCAGAACAAGTGACGACTAATGTACCGGCCTGGATAGTATTTCCCAAGAATATGCCAAAGGGTGTCAGAAACTTGTGTTTAAAGTCGAGGTTTTGCTAAGCAATATCTCGAATTGGAGTGAACTAAATTTATTTTAGCTGTGGGAATCGAACCCACGTCATTCGCATCCTGACTCTCTAGCCACTAAGCTAAACGGCGGATTGCCACAACGGCGAAAATCTAAACGTGTTTTATCTACATTGTTTTTTAGCATTTGAAGCAATGCTTGGCGCATCCATTGTTATCGTTATCCATTGTTATATCCTGGACTAAATTTAGTCAAATTTTACCCTAAAAAAGCACAACTTTGCGCGATTACTGCAATTAGATTCGCCATGTCTACTATTTTGAGGACATTCCTCTTGGTACCACAGCCTCGTATTCTTGATGTTAACATTCAGCAAAATTCAATTTAACAGTGACTTGGAAATGAAAGTCAGGCGACTTATAGAACATCCAGGCCTCAATAAAGCAAGAGAGTTTTTCTGCCGCCCTATCGCCTACAGCTCTACAAATCGCAGATAAGACCGCTCATAGAATACTGTGCGCAGAGACAATTTTATATCTCTGCGCTGGCTCCTAAAACATCAAATTTTTCCGGTTAACTGTACAACGTAAAGGTTCAGTCGCATGGACTAGCTTTACAAGAGACAAAGGAAGGACGGAGTGTTGACGCAATTATTGATCTTGCTGAGTTTTACCATTGTGCCGCGTTGACACACCACCAATTGCTATGTTCCAACATTATTATTGTTTATCTTGATGCTAGAGAATCCACCACAGTATTTTTTAATCTTCTTCAATCTTCCCTTGTGAAATTAGTAAACACTAGCGATATTTCTGGACCGATACGTCTCAAGTACCTACGTTCAAGAAAAGAGCTTGTTCCTAACTCCAACTCCAGGGTCGCTACGGGCGGCGATATTGACTTATAATCAGGTAGCTGCTTCCTCGCTCATCTCTTTTTCAATAAAAAAAGTATTTCAACCGAACAAATAAAAAAGCCTGATACGTTTGTGGAAAACTAAACAAGGTAATACATAGCATTCTAGTTTGTCAATTACTAGCCAATAAAAGTTATATGTTGGCGAAATCGGCAAGGATAAATTTTATTGATGCACAGATCGAGTGTGTGGCACTGCGTGCGAGGGTGCGGGGGTGAGGGAGTGTGGGGGTGTGGGGGTGAGGGCACCACCTGTGGAGCTAACCGGCCCACGAATGGGAAACCCTCTCACATCAATATTAAGCTAATGGGCACACTTTAACCAGGGAACGATGTCGACACAAGTGGATTACTTGCTAACTTGTTAATCTACTTTTAATATAAATGATGTAATTAATTTTTGCCCAAAAGCTCATCTGAATGTGAATATAATTGTGTTACTTTGGGCGAACTAATCGAGAACCTTTTTAGACAACATTATGTGTGATTTAGTGTTGTTATAAAAGATTAAAATCTGAATGATTATCTAAATTTTTAAACAGCAAGCAATTATATTCTTAAATATTTCAAACGTCCCGTATGATATAAATTTAACTGAGTAAGATTCGTATAAAAAAAGTGAAAACTAATAAATATTTGTACAAAAATAAGTCAAAATTGTTTTTAAGTATTTCGTTATATTACGGTACAGTTGAATTATCATAATAAAACTATTGCTCAATTAATCTCTTTAGTTGTATACATTTGTTTAATGAATGGTTATTCGAAATCGGCGTCTGTCCGTCTATACCGTTCATTCTTTAGCGGAGGCGTACATCTCATAGATTGCTTCCACCCACGTCCGCCTCAACCGGAAAGCTAAAAATAAAGCAAAAGCATGTTAGATGCTAGACAAATAAAGCAACAAACATATCAACAACTATTTATTAACAAATGAAGAACCGGAATAACAACTGTTTCCACAATTGTACATTTTTAATACATTTAAAACGGTGTCAAATTCAGTACACTCTTCCCACGGAGTTCAGATTTTGTGTGTAACGAAGGCGTTTTGCTATGGAGAGCAGTCAAAAGGAGTTAAAATGAGTGACCTAATATATGTACGTTTCGAAGCCAGCCTAGAACCGGATTAGGAGGGCCATGTCTGCCGTCTGCCGTCAACCAGCGGCCAAGAACAACGAACGAGCCCGACGAAGACTTCTAACCCAGGAGAACTCGCTTTACTAAGGCCGTGCTTCGTGAGTAAGGGGACGAAGAGGGACGCGTTCCCGGTGTGGGTGCGGACGCCCCACGCCATTCGTCATATTGGCGGAGTGGAGGGCCGGAGGGCCAGACGCATCGCTGCCCCTTAAAATTGCGTTCGTGTTATCTGTGCCATCGCTCCATTTCCCTATGCCTAATGAAAATGAGATTCGTGAGCCGCGCTCATAACTATCGGCCACAACATTTCTTCGTTGATAAATGACTGAAATTCGAGGATACGATCCAAGTGGACTCTAAACTTTGTAGTGAAACTGTTTTTATACACTATAACACGCAAAACCATTTTGCTACCGTTTTTACGAATAACGTCTATTGGTTAACAATATAAAATACTCATCTGGTAGAGCGAACTTTTCGTATGTACTAAAATAAAAAAATACACCTCCATATTGTTATAGAAACATACAGCTGTTATGTGGTCTCCCGTCGAAGAACGTTCAGCGAAAGCCTACTCACTTTTACCTTGACTCATCGTAATCGGACATTGTGCCATATTTTTATGGAATTATCGCTAAATGGCGGGTAATAGGATATCCGTCCGTCCGTGTGTTGTGACTGTTTGCCCGCATCGCTCGGTCCGGTGTCAAACCGTGAGCGATCACGCGGGGCGGGGTGAACGCGCACGATGCAACCAGAGCCGCCGGTGTCCAGTCCACCCGAGGCAGCGCCACCACCGGCCTATACCCGACCTATTGCAACATTAAATAGCGGGTGTTGTATTAAAGGTCTGCAACATGGGTGAAATACAATTTTTTAAATCAGATTACCTCACCCATGATAAAATACATTTCCATCTAAGGAAAACAAAGGAAAACACCATTTAAAAAAATCGACCCTGTTTACTTCACTCACCCGACGATATCCATATAATGCTTCTACTGCACGCCAGTCTTCTGTGTGGTCGTTAAATTTTCCTGCAGGAGTGCAACAGCAAACCCTGCTGAGAGGTCCTACCACAGTAATTTATCAATGTTATTTAATGAAAACTAGCAAACCCTATTATGGCTTAACCCTGTAGTAAAATAAGCGCAGAAAGAAAAAAACTGCAAATAATAAATTAATAGGTTAGATCGCTGCCTAAGCTACACTGTGACCGTCCACGTGCGTCATCAACTTATTGGATGCGACAAATACGCGGCGCGTTAGCTCCAACGTCGCTTAGCGCGGGACCATGCGTCCAAAGTTCTAATACGGAAGTGAATGCACAACTTGTTGCACCCACTGCGGTGAAATTGAACTCTATCATTTATTATTTCATAATGTTTTGCTTTTATTTGCATGCGTTCCAATAACTACAATACTGCCACCACAAACAGTAGTCGGTGATTGAACCTTTAAAATCAAATCTACCCCTATAAACGAAATTCGCGCTGATTACACCCATGCCTGAAATCAGAATCATTTCTGTATCACATTTGGCTTTTAAAAGCTCGCAAAGGCTTTACAGTTCTGCTGACAACACTTCTTAATCATCTTAACCATCCGAGAGCAGAATTATTTAAGTGGTAACGTTTCATTATTTTTTACGAATTTTATTACTAAAAAGGAAAATGTTTTATACTTTGTGAAAATTGGAATATTAAAATTTGTAGAAAAAAGTTCGAAAAGTTTTTCTCCGCTGTGGGAATCGAACCATGTCTTCAGACTTCGCCCCCTGACGCTTTAGCCACTAAGCTAAACGGCTGATCTTAAGTGCAGATATTAACACTATAAATTTAAACTTGTAAAAATTGTAATGTAATTTAAATAAAAAAGCTATACTGAATTGCTATCCAAGCTTACGATTATGCCTTTCATATTGAGAGTTGAAAACACCTGCACAAGACTTTATAGTCGAGACTTGGTCTTTATAAAAAACCTAAAACTTCTTCTACAAATCGAAATATTTCTTCATTCTTGCTAATATAACACCTTTTCATGCTTTTTTTTTTGTGAAAAGGTGCCAAACGAGCAGACGGTTCACCTGATGTTAAGTGAATACCGCCGCCCATGGACATGCTGGTACACCCGAGTGTTACAGATGCGTTGACAACCTTTTGAAAATTGGGCTCCGCCTACCTCACTCACCAGACGAAATGCGATAGTATTTGTCATACTTCCACTTTACGCTGGTCTTCTGTGAGGTCGTGGTACTAACCCGGACGGGCCTGCCCATTCGTGCAACAGCCGAGGCTGCTGCGTGGCCCTACCACCGTTGTTCACTTACATTATTCAAAACTTTGACTGTTAAAAGATTTTTGTTAAAAGAATTTTTATTCAGTAAAGAACCAAAACGCATCAGCACCTTAATGACACTATTGTGCAAACACAGCGTTAAACACCTTTACGTTTTTCAATGCCATTTCCTTTATACCACTTATTATAACTGTGTATTTAATGCTGTATTTAATCTATTGGTGTAGTGGTTATGTGTTTCTAAGCTCCATCAGTAGGGTTGCTAAAACTTAAATAATTTTAACTGCGATACAGCTATGGATAACCTCTTTACAGAGGAGGCCTTTGCCCAGCAGTGGGACATTACATATAGGCTGTTACTTAACAGCTTCTGCTGTTGCACGAATGGGAAGGCTCACGCCTCATAGAAGACCGGCGTGAAGTGAAAGTATTAAACTTTCGCGTTTCGCCTTTTGAGTGAGGTAACCGGGGCCCAAATTTTTAAAGTTGTCAAGCCGTCAGATGTTGTAGATGTCTATGAGCGTAGTATTCATTAGGTGAACCATCCGGTTGACAAGCGCAGCGGATGCTTCACTTTTCACATAAAACAAATAAAAAAAATCGTATTATTCATTAATATAAAACGCTGTGGTATAGAAGTGATAAGATGAAACATGATGTTGTACAGGACGATTTTTGCATTACGCATTATCGTTCATAATCATAGTATTGTTGAATTTATTAAAATTGCACCGTAAACGTCAGCGAAAGCCACAGGTCGCGGGTGTAACCGGTCTAATATAATAATTACTGGGCGATGGGCATCGCGGCTAATTCATTTGCGTGGGCTTAATGAAATGGGGACACGCGAGCCGCCGCGCCCTTCGCCCCACCACTCCGCCACTCCGCCAGGGGCTCCGGGAACCGACAGGGGCGGTGGCCCCGGCGACCGCCTCCCCTGGGGAACAGGAGTTTCTGTGCGGCAGAACCGTTGCCGTCCCAGTATTTCCAAAATCCAAACTTGTCTCTTAATCATAAAACGTAAAACAACAATTTGAAAAGATGAACATACAAGTAATGATTCAGATATCCACAAAATAAAATGGTTGAACTCACGTCAAATCGGTGTATTTCAGTGCGAGACCAAGCACGACTGGTCCTGGAGTTAAAGGACCTCCGTTAGGTCCGAAACTAGTCGGTATATACACCGAATAGAAGTAAGTTCAGCCGTTCTATTAATTCGTGGAAGTTTTAATAATTTTATTAAGACATCCATATATCTGAAGACAATGGTCTTCGCAAAAAATGTCGACATACGCTCGGATACATTGTAGAAGAAACATTATGTTAAAAACTTCTCGCATAAATCATTGTTTTGACGGCGAAAAAATTCCGTGGTTCATAAAAACATTTCACACTTCCTACGTAAATGAATAAACAATACATACGAATTGAAAAGTGAATTCGTTAAACATGGTATATTCGATGTGTAGTATCCGGGTGAATGAAGTAAGTGTCGAACAGTTTCATTAAATAACGCAAACAATGAGTGATTAAAAAGGAGTCGGCCGCCGCGGACCGGAGGCGACGGCTGAGCCGCCGCTCGGCGCGTGACGTAGCAACAGTTTCGCGTACACGTTATTACAATTTCATGCAAATTCAACACAACGCGCCGCGCTAATTCGCTTCAAATTAACAGATTAGCATAAATTGCGCTCTGCTTATGAATTGCAATTACACTATATTTTACGATTCTGTTGCTAAAAATTATTCACGGGCCAATTTTTGTACTTTAAAATATTACATTATTCAAAGGCAGGATGTTGAATCTGTCTATATGACTGTCTACTTATATGATCGCTATGGACATTAAATTATTTATAACGGTTTTGGACGCCCTCTGACCCCGCTATCACACATAGGATTTTAAGTAAGTAATAACGTTTTTGTTTTAAGGTCCTAAATAGCCCCATAATCCCCAATATCATGCAGGGGTACTGCAGTAGCACCCAGATTTGAGTATGTATGTTCACTTTCGCCATCAATAATGGATCGAAGCATCTCATCGCCCGCCTCCGCTACGGCTCGGCGACGACGTTGACACGCGTGACACAATCAGCCGAGAATCGTGGCTCTGCGCCAACCGTGCCTTTGTCCCTTCCGACGCTCCGCCACGGCGATTGATTGGTGCCACCATATTAATTTATCCCGCCGTCCCAATGACTCGTACGCTATTAAGAACATCGTCGACATAATGTGTAATGTGTGTAACACGTGTCAACTACATGTGCCAGCTCGTCGACGCGTCGGATCGGATCGTCCGTCGGCCATCGCGGCGTTAGGCCATCGGTCGTTGCACAGTGACTGCGTGCCCCATTCATAAATATGTGATGATATGATTTTCCTCGGCCTACTTTTAGTTGGATATATTGAATCTATTTGCGAAACAATAACGGGCTCATATTATGCGAAAAGACGCCGCGGGCAAGGAGCCGCCGCTGGGCGCGGCCACGTGGCGCGTATCGCGGCGCGCGTCTAAAAATACGCGCAGAGGCGCTCCTTACGGGGCAGGCAGGGCCCGATGTCCGCTCCCGATGTGCACTCCAGGGCCGTGATAGCGACGCACGCGCCGCCAGGCGAAGCCGGACCATACGCCCTAAGGGATTGGGCGCAGAATCGATCGGCCGCGCGGTTGTTGCCAGGCGCGCGTGGCCTCGGCCGGGTTATCGCGCGACCTCTTATCAGCGCACGCACACGCGCACGCGGCGTGTCCGCGCGCGCGCACACCAGCGCCCGCGAACGCTCGTACACTTCGCACCGCTCGGAAATGGGTCGAATGTGTCGCCCCGCGTAATTAGGACGAGGAACTGGCTGTGAACCCACGCTATCGAGCCATCCTTCCCATTCGTATTGTATTCGTTTTGTTTTCGTTTTCCACGATGACTAATGCACTTGCGATTGTGCAAAGTCACGTCTGTACCTACTCCGCACTGTCCGAGGAGCGTCGATAGGCTTACGCATGTTTAGGTACAGAGCCCTTGATCTGATGCACACTCGGCCGTCACATTACTCATTGCATCGTTTCGCGAACCTTTTACAACGCGAGCCAACTTTGTTCACGCTGACTAATAACAATTATCCTTTGTAACGCACACGACAATTACCGCTAATATTAGCCAATGTAATTAGGAACACATTAATGAGCATTCTGTTTGACACATGCCGTTCATGAGCCACACCGATCTGTGACAATTGACAGAAATAACGCGACAAACAAAGTTTATAACTTTGAATGTCGCGTTCGATTGCCAAATCTTTTCATGTCTGTTCGACTACTCATGAGTGCAATCAGAACATAGTTGTCTTACACAATTGAATATGTTTCACAAATAGTTTGATTGTGTCCAGTTTTGATTGACGTATTAGTTTTATTTCGTTAAGACATGGAGTCCTACGAATTTGACTACTTTTTGCCATTAGTTGACAGTTTTCGTTTTAAAGTTGATCGTAATTATTTTTATAATAGTTATATTTGTAAATAACTTCATTAAAAACTCAGTACCACTAGGGTGTAAGTTCAGAGAAAGAGAGAGAGAGATATAAGACACTTATATATAAGATATTTATAGATAGAGAAATAAATTTCCACATACCTCAGTCCTCAGCGAATCCACATTATAATGCATTTTGATTATTTTTACTTTTTAAAAGAGTTATCAACATTAGGAACGTAACACCCGATAAGTGACGTAACCGGAGGTGCTTTTTTGAAATTGGCAACGTGCTTGTAACAAAGCTGACGTTGCAGAGTTCATTCGTTAATAGTCACAAATAACGTTCAGGTGAATTCATGGGCCGTCCGTCATCGTTCCTAATCTAAAAAGAACTTGGTATCCGCAGCAATTTCCCGCCTTCCGTGGCAGCGACGCGTGCAGCACGTGGCCGGCGCGCGCCAACAAACGCCTCGCTGCCGATAATTGTCTCCGCAAACATCCTGCGAGTTCAACGCCACTCGCAGCGCGCCTCACGAACAAACCAACAGTTGTTTTTATTACGCTATACGTTGCATGGATATTGGAAGCTCATCGGTCTCTAATCGTATCTATCAGTGATATACGATGTGAAGATCTTGAAATCAATTTAAAGTAGTCGTAATTTTGTAACTGTCATAAAATAGAACCCTCCATGGTGGCACACAGATCCGGAACATTCACCTGTGGGTCACAAAGATTCTTGACCCTTTTGTGAATCGAACCCACTATCTACATTCATACTCAACACTTTTCTCCATCCCGTTCAATCTTATTCTTCCAATTCCTCTTCAATCACTGAAGGTTGGCAATCTGCTTTCCGTACTCGTCGCTATCCTTGATGTTTTGTAGCCATGATTTCTTTTCGCGACCAACTCGCCTCTTTCCTCGAAAATTCAAGTGTAGAAGACAAAATAAAAATTGTGCGCCCTCACACTATTAATGTTATTCCAGCGGTAAAAGCTCTGAAAGCGCGCATCTAAAGAAATCCCATGTGTAAGCAGAGACCTTTGGCCCTTAAGATGAGGTTAAGCAGGACCACGATGAAAGGGGCGTCGAATGAAGACTTGGGGCATCGAGATGTTATCGTTATAATAGGACATCGTTTAGATGCGCGTTTAATGGACGTTGGTATACTGAAGAGATCCTGCGTTTTGTTATAGCAGTATGCGGGAAAAAAGACAGTTAATTTGTTTTCTTTTTTCGATGAAAAGTTTTGACCGTAGACTTGTAGAGACCTCCGATTTGGACCCATGGCCCTGTATGAGGTATCAGGAAGAGAACATGAAAATACGTTATGTTATTTTTCGGAACATGGGGACAAAATAGTGCAAAACCGAACCTGGCCCAATGATGGATAGACCAAAGTACCCAATATCGGCAGTAGTTACATATGTCTGGTCTGTGGATTTGGGCATATCTGTTTGTTAAACTGTTCAATTAGATGCATGTAAATGGCGGCGTAGTGTTTTACGGCTTAAACTCTTCAGTATGTATCGATAAACACACTTGCGGTACCAAGCTCCATCTATTGTCTGCCTATAGATTCGTGGGGCGATGATTTCTTCGTTGCAGCCGGAGGGTGAGTGTTTCGAGGGCATCGCGGGCGCGGTCCGGAATAATTGTGACAATAAACAGGCGGTAATGGGGCGCCGCGCCCAGACAGTTAATTAGCCAAGTGTCCCCCCCCCCCCCCCCAGTCCCGCCGGCGGGCGCACCCCGCCCGGCCCGCTCCCCTCGAGAAATTCGGCAACTATTCGCCGTTTGTCAGCATTAATCACCTGCCGCCTATTATATTGCTAAACAGGCCTACGATTGAACTACACCTTGTTATACAATATAGTCAGATTTAAATATGTTCATTTAAGAGAACCAATTGAGAATACTAAGGAATCATTTTCTTCAGAAGTCTGCCAAGACCATGTTAAGTGAATATGTGATAACCATCAAAATGTTAAGCTTTGGTCTTTATGCCGAAACTGCGTGGTGTCGGAGGGATTATCAAATCAAAGTATCAAACGACCGCTGTCGGCATCCAACCGTTGAGCCAACAGGAATGTACTTAAGGTTAACTACTTATCTTAATCGACAACCCAATGTCTTATCTATATACACTACTGGCTTCACACAGTATATTTTTTTTATGTGAAAAGCCGCCGCCCATGACAACTGCCACACCCGAGGGTTACAGATGTGTTGACAACCTTTTGAAAATTGGACTCCGGCTACCTCACTCACCAGACGAAACGCGAAAGTATTTGTCATACTTCCACTTTACGCTGGTCTTATGTGAGGTCGTGGTATTTACCCGGATGGGCCTGCCCATTCGTGCAACAGCCGAGGCTGCTGCATGGCCCTAGCACCGTAAAATATATGTCAAATCGCTCTAAAACATGCGGTTTTTTGCCACACTTCTCAACTGCCAACACCGGCATGCTAGTAGGCTGCCACATCCGACGATGTTGCTGTGATATTTTTTACTGTAATCCTAAATTCTTTAAATACAACTTGTTATGAAAACTTAAAAATCCACTTCGTGTTTCATGTACAAGACAGAAACGTTTAAATCACCATAACCTGAAATGGTTGGCAACTATTACAGCGGTAAAAATGTACATTAAGTAATGTTAAAAAAACGTTACTTAATGTAATTAACCTTACATTAAGTAATGTTAAATAAATGTAATGTAACCTTGGATACATGTATGTGAAAATTATAAAATAGCTTATAAAATAAACAACAAAATTGTTTTCATTCAATATCGTTTCAATGACGGGGAAGTAAAATAAACAAAATTAGATATTCTGAGTGTCATTCGGTTCCAGAAGCAAGTGATTTATTGAATACTAGATGCACCATTTCGTCGATGGAACATTTGTCAAAAAGCACATTATGTTGGCGTTCAGTTGCCGCTTAAATAAACGCTGTATTATCCACTTGCATTGCCCACTTGTTCGATGGGGAGAAATGAATTATCAACATTGAAAAGCAGCCATCCATCACGGCAGACTTAATCCATATAATATTATATGGAATATATCCTTATAATTTTATATGCATTAAGATTACCTATTGGACTATTCTTAAATCTTATACCCAGATATTTATACAGTAAAGGTTAACATAACTAAAAATTCTTTTTTCTTTCAAGTTCAAAATCAGACATCTGACTTGGTTGTACTGTGGCACCCCTGCGCCGTAAACACCATTCAAGAGATTGCGGCAAGAATGTATCGGGTATTCAAATATAATCATATTATCGTGCTCCAATGTTTACGATTATGTTAGCGCTCCCAATAACTAATGTTGGGAAAGTGCTATAGAATTAATGTGGTGGAAGCGACAAGTTCTTTATATTTAAACATTTTTATAGATCTCATAATGGCTCTTATAAATTTACTAGCGGCCCGCCCCGGCTTCGCACGGGTATTTAACAAAATTTTTAAATTTAAAAATTATCATACACACATAAAACCTTCCGAATATTTCGTCTTTGGTGAATAATTTTATAAATTTCTTCATCTTTTAATGAAATACCCTTGAAATTACGTCATGAAGATCGAAAGACCGCTGACCAGATAATGGTTCCGCTTTAATTACGAGACATTCGGGGTTACACGTAAGTCTGGTCTCCCATAGCTTCGGACATAAATCATCGCATCTTTGGTTTTTTAATGCAGGTAACTCGGAGAGCCGTGATAGCTCAGTGTCCGGGCGCTCGCCTCTAATTCAATATACTTGAGCAACCTGAGTTCGATCCCCGGTGCCGGCGCACCAATCAAGTTTTTAACTTTAAGTGATAACTTATCACGTGCTCCGCGGTGAAGGAAAACATCGTGAGGAAAAAAACAAAAAAAAATATATTTAGAAAATATGTGAAGTCCGCCAATCCGCAGTGGGGCCGCGTGGTGGACTATGCCCTGATACCCTCTGTACAGATGAGGCCTTTGCCCAGCAGTGGGACATGTATAAGCTGTTCCTTTTACTCGGAGAACCTGTAAATGAATATAACGTTGCAGATAACGCGTTGACCGATATTTAATGGGTCAATGTCTTGATTTAAAGCATCTCGAAGATGAATGTTCCACCAGCCCTCAGTATCTGGTGATTACGACATAATTTGTAATTCAATCTTTCTGATATCTTTTTGTCATCATATCGACAATGTATTGAATAAAAACCAGCGAGTCGGACTCGTACACGAAGGGTTCCGTACCGACCTCACAGAAGACCGGCGTAAAATAAAAGTGTTATAACTTCTACTTTTCGTCTGGTGAGAGAGGTAGCCGGAGCCCACTTTATTTAAAGTTGCAATTGTCCATGGGCGGCGGTTATTACTTAACGTCAGGTGAACCACCAGCTCGTTTGCCACTCTATCACATTAAAAAAATCATGTTTTAATATCTTTATTCAATATAGAAGTATTAACCTTACATATTGTCAAAAACACTACCACTGTCAACATTATCTATGAAAAGGCAAAAAAATCATGTCTGTTTTATGTGACCACTTATTTATACTTTTTTGGTTTTTAGTATTTGTTTTTATAGCGGCAATATAAATACATCTTTTGTGAAAATTTCACCTAACTGTCACGGTTCATGAGATACAGCCTGGTGACATATGGATTAACATACGGATATACAGACAGATAGCGGAGTCGTAGTAATAGGGTCCCGTTTTTCTCTTTGGGTACAGAACCCTAATAAGTCCCAGTAATAATGCAATGGATTAAAACAGGTAGCTCTAACCATCAACCTAAATACATAAAATTGCATGCATGTCACGGTGTAACTCAGAGACCCTTTTAAATTGGACGTGTCTACCGTGCAACACTATATCTCTGGGGCCTTTTTAGGATTTCGTACCCAAAGGGTAAAACGGGACCCTATTACTTAGACTCCGCTGTCTGTTTGTCCCTCTGTCAACAGGCTGTATCTCATGAACCTTGATAGTTACATACTTGAAATTTGATCTGGGTATTTCTTTCCCAAGGAGGGTTGACGTCAGGCAGGCGGCTGGTTGTAAAAATATTGCCAAAACCGCGATACCAAACATGATTCATGTTGTGCCAACCCCACCTAGGTGGGATAGGGGCAGGAGGATTATGATAACTTGTACACTTGTCCCTCTATTTTAAAAGTTCGCGTCAAATGAAGTCATTTGAACGAGGCTATTGTACTTTCGGATGTTGTTTAAAAATATCCTGATGGTGAATGATTATTTGTAGAAAGATTTTTTATTGGTTGTGGCGGCTCCTCAATATTGGGGACACCAACTTTTCCAGAAGCACAGCACATACCATTTGGTTCATCGACCCATATTTAGCAGAACACTTCGAGCAGATCTTATTCGTGGCTCCGATTTGGACGGAAGACTCTTGAGCATAATGCATGAAGGCTGATCTGTTGCTGTGAGCTAAAACTCGATTACGAACTCTAGTCGTTGACGTTTGTAGTCTT